TGTGTGTGTGTGTGTGTGTGTGTGTGTGTGTGTGTGTGTGTCTAGTTTTCTTTTCTTTATTTTTTTTGAGACAGGGTTTCTCTGTGTAGCCCTAGCTGTCCTGGAACTCACTTAGTAGACCAGGCTTGCCTTGAACTCATGAAGGTCTGCCTGCCTCTGCCTCTGCCTCCTGATGCTGCCTGGCTCTAGTTTGCTTTCTATTGCTGTGATAACCACTATGACCAAAAGCAAGCTGCAGGAGGAAAGGGGTTATTTCCCTTATGCTTCCAGGTAACAATCTGTCACTGAGGGAAGTCAGGGCAAGAACCTGGAGGCAGGAACTTAAGTAGAGGCTGTGAAGGGGTGCTGCTTATTAGCTTATTCATCCTGTTTTCTTATAGAATCCAGGACCACCTGCCCAGGGATGGCATTGCCCACAGTGAGCTGAGTCTCCCCACATCTACCATTAAACAAGAAAGTGCCTTATAGACTTGCCTTATAGCCCATTCTGATGGAATCCCCCAGTAAGGGGCTGGGGTGTGGCTTAGTGGTAGAGGAATAGATCTGAGGGAACAGATGAGGGACTTGTGTGTTTGTGGTGGTGGTGTCTGGACAGCCTAGCACCCAGGGAGGAGGGAGTAGAGCATTGAGAGCTGTGTAAACTCTCTCACCTTCCTGGGGATTCCCTCCGTGTACCAGGTGAACCATATGTAACCATCAAAGCCTACACTGCTGTGGAAGAGGATGAGGTGTCACTGTCAGAGGGTGAAGCCATCGAGGTCATTCATAAGCTCCTGGACGGCTGGTGGGTGGTCAGGTAGGAGAGCCCCTCCTCCTGCACAACTCTACCTGAGTGCGCTCAGGGGACCTCACTTGGGCTCTGAGCTGACATGGCTGTGTGATTCTGGAGTTACAAAAGCAAGCAACAAGGAAAATGACATGGAGACTCTTAAAGGTCACAACAGACTCCGGCAGGATACACATTTAATTTCCTCCCCTGTCCAGACTCTGAAGGGAGGGCTGGGGGTGGGGGTCTTATATTGCTATAGATGAGGAAACAGGCTGGCCCCTTGGGTGTGGATATTTGAAATCCCTTAGCCTGCATTGGTCCCCATGGTTAAGGCACTTTGAAGCCCTTATGCCTGCCTGAGCCTCCAGTGTGACCCATCTTGCAGGAAAGGGTATGCCACCGGCTACTTCCCATCCATGTATCTGCAGAAGGCTGGGGAGGAGGTGACCCAGGCCCAGAGGCTGATTAGAGGCCGCGGGGCACCGCCGCGCAGGTGAGAAAACACCCCCCCACTCTGGGCTGGGCAGGCCTGAGGGAGACCTGAGGGAGGGCCACAGATTCCTGGAAGGGTAGGTATTTACCAGGTTTAGTGCAGTGCCTTCGCTGTTGCAGGATGTGGCAGACACAGTGATGGCGGGGAAGGCGGGGACAGAGGTAGTGAGGAGCCCACTGATGCTAGAGTCCTTTGGGATGGCCAGAGGGAAACAGGCCTGGGATCTGAGACAGGATAAGATCCATGACCCCCACAGCTCTTACAGGTTCTCCTGCCCGCACTCCACTTGCTAAATGTAGGCTTAGGACCTGAGAGATGCCACAGTCCCTCTGCACCCACTTGCTGAGGCCAGACTTAAGATTTCAGGGTGCCATTGTCTTTCGCACCCAACTTTCTCAGGCCAGGCTTTGGGG